TGTTGAATGGAAAGCAGCGACAATAGCCAGCTGTATGAATCTGTTAAGTCAAGTACATAGAACTGGACAGTTGGCGTTTCCTCCAAGCACTTTTAGCTGTCCTTGGACACTGTGTGAGCATCAGTTTGAAAAGTTGCAGTGACTGGCCACACAGAAAAAGCTGCCATGTTGGGAGCACTGTGCGATAACACCTAAACAGTAGGCGGGATTTGGCAGTGACTAACAGTGGGGAAATAATTGAAGAACCCAAAACAAAAGAGTTATTACAAGAACTGAAGGACCACCAGTGTAACATACCAGTGTCATAGTCTCTCAGCCATAAAGCAATATGTGAGTTGCACAGTAGTTATTATGGTTTGCGGTTCTGATTCTCTGTTGCAGTCTACCATGTAGTTTATCTGAACTTGGGCCCATGATGAGAAGGAACTGAGTATATTTAGGAACTGAAAAAAGTGTTAAATTCATTCAATAACAAAGCGGTCATCTTGAGATTCTGAAAGAGAGCATTGCGTCATCATCAGTCACGGAATTCAGGAAACCAACATTTGAGTGGCTGGCTTTGGTGGGCTTGCGTCAATATGCTGCTTTGTCGAGCCCATTAGTTCATTCTCTGCAGGCCTCTGCTGTCTTTGTGTCCAAGGTTCAAGTGCGCTTTCATGCTTCTTGGGAATGAAAGCTCTTTAACAAGAGCAAAAGAAGCCCCCTCACAGTCTTATATTCAAACGTGCTGGTTATTCAGGAACACAGCCCGGTTACCTTCTGCCCCTGGCCCTTCAATACGCAGCCCCAGGTCACTCTCCAGCCCGAGGCTTTAATTGGGGAGAGGAAATGCCCCACAAAGAAACATTCAGAAGAGTTCAGAGACGCGTTTAGATGCTTTCACTTTCTTAGCCCAATCAATCTGGTCAAGAGCCATAAGAAACAGGTCCTGCTTCCTGAGGCCCCTGATTGTTTGCTCCAAAAGCTCAGGAACCGTATTTAGATTTGCTTTAAAAGCTCCCCCTAATCTATTCTTACAAGCACACTGCAATAGAAAACAGCTCTGACTTTAGGGGAAAAATATTTTAGAAGCGATAAAAATTAAGGCCCAGTAAAGCGAGCGCTAAAACGTCCCGGGTGGACTTGCAGCAAGGCCGTAAATTGTAGGCATCCCTTCATAGCTGTAACTGCCACCAACTGAAGATTGTTAGACAGCCAGTAAAAACACTCCACTAAGGTCCGTACAAGCTGCTGGGTTTCTTTTGGAAGGACAGTGTTTAGCAGACTGTCTGATAATTAACAGTTAATAAAAATATTTGGAGTACTGAGGAGTAAGGCTATAAGCAGCTCACTTTGATCTGAGCTTGTGCAAAATAGCTTAGAAATGATATAAAACGGAACATGCAGCTAAATTGGTCACAGCCAGCAGAGCAGTCTGCGATTGCAAAAATGTAACTAATTTGACCACAAACACCCTGCATCAGATAAAAAGAAATGCTTAACTCAGTAAAACATATCTCTCTCCAGTCAAAAAGACAGAGAATGGTTTCATTTCACATGGGCAATGTTGGCTGCATTAACCATGTTGGCTTACATCCGAATACTTTTCCACAGACGGCTGCAGCCTGTTAGTGAGTCTAAACTCACACGTGAACCTATAGTTTTTCAAAAAGAACAGGACAAATTAGATTTACGCCTTATATCATGCTCTCCTGATACAGCCAAACATCCTCACAAACCACAAATAAGTGCTAAACCACTCTTCTGGCTGGCGCTGCTGGTTGAGAAGGTAGAGCCAATCACTGGCAACTCAATAAGGTATCTTGATAAGACAAATCTAGCTGTATATGTATTTGTTTATCTGTATGTCTGTCTAATTTGTGTCTGTCTGTCTGTCTGTCTGTCTATCTATCTATCATTAGATAGCATTAGATAACATTAGATAACATTAACAGATTTGATCCCTTCACAGTGACCCAGAAAACATGATTACATATCAGAGACCTGGACGGTTTAATGTCTGTCCCTATTAATGTGCTCAATCATTTTATAACCCCAATTTTCTATGACACAAAAGTCCACTTTTTTGGATCAAGACAAAACCATTTCATTAGAAGCAGCTCATCCAGAATATCTGTAAATGCTCTCCTGTGATAAAGATCCCCTAGAAGAACCCTCTTAAGACTATAGAGAGAGTATCATCTGCATGCTCTGTAGAACATTTGAAGTGATCTCATGGTTTTGACAGTGATTTTGGGAAGCTCACCCGTGTCCTCAGTTAGTTTCGGTCCACTCTGCTCTCATTTATGCCCCTGGCGATGAGCGCACTGAAAGCAGAAGCTGTTTTTAACTCTGCACAGATTGTGGCTAGTTTTAGCAATGGCTTGGTTTCTAAGTTTGTAAAGACATATGGCCACATATAAAGTTCACAAATGATGGAAAAATGAATTTTTTATTTAAAAGACAAGTCTGATAATGCCCACGCCATAAGAAAACATAGAAGAAACAGCCTAATAATGCAATCATTTTTTTATGAATTGTACTGAGGCCAGCTGGTAGGAGCTCACAGGACAGCTACTGGCCAGGGTGTTTTTGCCAGAAAACTGCATAGTGATCATAGTTATATTCCTCAAGGGATGTCCAGGCTAAACAACATTTTCCCTCACCTTCACCTTCATGTATTTGCATATTCCTCCACCATTCTAAATTCTACCCAGAGCCTTGGTACAAGACAGTACAGAACAAACAGGAAGGGGTATTGAGCACAAATGCTCATACTATACCTATGTGCACAGCACCTTTATTTGATTTCCATGTTTTATAGAGAATATATACTGAATTTCCATGTATTGCTGTAATGCCCTAGGATTAGTGTTATTATTATCATCAAACCCCCCAATATTGCCAAAATAGCTTTTGTGCTCTTCACTCTTGGCAAAACTTTGAAAATGGCAATGCAGCAAGATGATTGGAGCTCGAACAAGAAACTTGTAGCAAAGAAAACAAGAGCAGAAAGTGAACGGTGGCTCAAGTCAGTGTCCCATGAGACGTGCACGTAAAGCCAAACCATACCCACAGTTTGGCAGGCCCAACAGAAAGCGTGTGGATGCAAAGTCTGTAGGTAGGCATCAATGTCACAAAATCACTGTAGAGGCAGTAAATCCCACCGTTTATAATTCTACAAAGCATTCTGGGGGCACGTCTCTGATTTAAGCCTTAAATAAACCTGTCGTTTTCTCTGGGGCGCTACATTCCCAGAAAGTAAAACTTTGAAAAGAATGCAACAAAGTGCACAAACCCATGCAGGGTTAAGCACCTTCCGTCCTGCTTAACCGTTCCTATCGACACCCTCTATAGATTTTTATGCTTTACGGCTGAAGTTTCACAACATACCCACTACTGTCAATCAGGCCGAGGACAGAAGAACCACATTTTGGACTTTATAACTTCCACATGTTGGCTGTGTTTAAGCTCCATGAAGTCTATGAGAAGTATAGGATACATCTTGTGGTCACGCAGATGTACCAGCCAGTGGAGCACATCAGCAGGAGGGACACTGAGTTCTTGACCATTAAATGGGTAGATTACAAAGACACATCTACTACACAAAGTGTTGATGTGTAACAATACACGCATTTTCAGTTTCAGTACAATGAAGTCAAGATTTGATCTTTAATGTTCTGTGTGTTAAATGTCTTGATGCTGCAGAGCTCTGACTGTGTGCTAGTCAGATTGGTTTAACTCAGACAAATACACCATTTATTTCAAATCAAAAGACTTTTGTTGCATTTCTTTGTGCAAAATAGTGACCTCAATGCAGCTGAGCTTTAAACAGCACGAAAACCTGAACTGTCTCATGTAAACCTATATTCTATAGCATGGCTCCATTTTCAGCCCCCTGAAACTGTAAAGTCAACATCAACATGTCACAAAGGCACAGTTAAAATACAACAGTATGGGCTGGTCATATGACATGTCCTAGGTGAGAGTAAGTTAACGTATTCTCTACAGAGAACAACCCTTTAATGCATAAATACTGCTTATTTTCTGAATTTAACATATTGGGGAACAAAGAAAACATAAATAAATGAAGATTGTGCACTAAAATTTGCTAAAAAATGTTATAGCGTTGTTCCCTGTAGAAGACGTGATAACTTCACTTAGGAAATCCACAAAACATCATGTTTTTTGCAAAATCTACACTGAACCTGATACTGTTACTTGCCACTTTTTTCATGTTTAATGTTCAAATGAGAGACCCTTAGAAGAGACAGAGGACTGTATTAATGATACAGTTTTAAATTTGGATACTGTTTTGAATGTTCCTTTTTGAAATATTTCAGGACTGTATTAAAACTGTTACATGTTGAAGTGTTTTATCTAAATAAAAAAGCTCTCTGTTCAATTTTCTATGGATTGGTTGGCAATTTTCCCACAAAGCCCCCCAACACAAAGCCCCCTAACAAAGCTGTGCAAACTGATCCATCACTGACTGAGCATACTTATTCTCCTGATGTTCAAAGTGTGGAAACAGAAGAAGATGCTGTCTAACATCAACATCCAAGTACTGCACTCTTAAAGGTTAAGGTGCCAAAAAGAGTTCTTTGGAGCAATACCATACAAGAACCACTTTAGGTTCCCTCGGGAAACTTTCAATGGAAGGTTCTTCAGAGAAAGAGTAATATAAAAAAATATAAAATACCTTTTTTAAGGTCAAAAGAACCTCCACATAAAGGTTATATACCAGCTAAAGATCCATTTATCCAAACCAACAACCCTTTTGGAGCCTTTGGTTTTAAGAGTATACATGACCTATGATTTGACGTCACAGAACAAGCCTGATACTGTGATTTTAGTTGTTTATTCCAAAATCACATGCAGCCTGTCACCTGCAGCAAGAATGAGCTGATTATCAAAGATCTGGAGATCCCTCTATGCAGAGAAAGGCTGCTCTGTACAGAAGCCCGAGAGAGGACATGTCTTTAGAAAGTGGAAGTGTTCAGAGATCGAGAGAGACTGACCTGGTGGGCACGAGCACTCCTGCACGAGGTCCCTCGTAGTACGCAGCTTGGGGGCTTCCTCCATGAGTCTCTGAAGGAGTAACCATACATTTCTGTTAAAAGTCCCTGACTGACATTATCAGCTGCAGTGACTGACTGTTTGCTCAGAAATATGAGCTGTAATTACACTAAAATACAGAAGGGTTCTAACTAGATGATCTCATCAAAGCACTGGTAATCATGTGTAGTCATGTGATGACCACAGATAATGAATTAAAAATTAATAAAAAAAATAGTAACACAAGGCATGTAAATGTTAATGTAAATAAAAAATTGAACAATCAACAAATCAAAAATAAAATTAGGCTGTAAAAAAACAAACAAAAAACTACATTAAAAAAACTAAGAAAGAAAATAATCATATAAAAAAATAGAAAAAAAATCCAAAAAAATCCACTTTTTGAAAAATCATAATATAAATAACCCAGAAAATGTAAAAAAATATATGTGTTAAATCAGACAAAAAGCAAAAGTCCATTTGTTTAAAAATGAAATGAAAATCTGTAAAAAAATAAATAAAATTACATTTAAAAACAATAACATCTAAAAGAGAAACATACCAAATAAAACAACAAAATTAAAAGCATAAAACAAACTGTTTTGATAAAAAGTCAGAATATAAAGAATAACCTAGATGTAAAAATACACAAAAATGTTGATAAGACAAAGAAAACTAAAGTCAACGAATCAAAAATGAAATTAAAAGCTGTAAAAAATATATATAAAATTATATTAAAAACAATAAAAACTAAAAGAGAAAATAAACACACCAAACGAAACAAACAAACAAAAACAAACACAAAAATACAAAAAACTCTAAAAAGACTCTAAAATCAATTACACTAAAAAAAGCCAAAAATCGATCTTAAATTAAAGGCAGTTAAAAACGACTAAAATAAAGTAAAAACCCCTCAAAATCAACAACGATGAAAAGTCCGTATCTGCTCACCTTCTGAACGAGCTTGTCGATCAGATCCCACAGAGTCCCGTTCACCTCCAGCCATGACGGAGCTGAGCTGAACTCCGAGCCTCGCTCTGCCTCCAGCAGCGCCACTCTGTGCTCCAGGTGAGCCGACCTGAAGGTGCCGAGCACACAGAGCGCCACAGACACTCCGGACAGCACGAAGCAGAAGACCGCGGGCAGACAGAGCGCCGCAGGGGAGGAACTGCAGGACGCCGGTTTGTCCATCTCCTTCAGCTGAGCCTTACACTGCATCCTCAACACTCTCACAGCTCTGACTTCACACACTCCAAACTCCGTCTGAGCCCCTCTGAGCCCTCTCTCTGTCTGAGCTCAGAGCCGCGCGGAGCAGAACTCTCTGGACCTTCAGCTGACAGGACACACGCGGGGGACACACCGACACACCGGATAGGCCAATCAGAGAGCAGAGTGAGTGCGCGCGCTTCCAGCCTCCAGCTGTGTGAGGAGCGCGAGTTCTGCTCCAGCTGTTTCTCTCCGGGGCAACGCGCGCGCCTCGCGCTTGCACTTCCACCAATCCGCTTCCAGCAAGCGTGTGCGCGAGAGCATTTAAACTAAATGAGACCACAGCTCCTCACTTTAAAAGTGTTAGAAAGGAAACGACAGAACCTTTTCTACACTGAACTCTTAAACTGTCTGAATTTCCACAAGACAAACATGATTTAAAAAGCCTAAGAAGCTCCTCTGGTAACTGCTTCCTTATTATTAGACACTTTTCAGATTTCGGGCAAAGCTGAACTGAGTCGCCCGCTGATGTCCTAATACGGAGCTGTGGTGCCACCTACAGGACAATTTAACAGCTGTTTATTATAGGGAAAAAAAGATAGAGTCGTTTAAGTGTTCTTATAGTGTTGCTTGAACACTCACCAAACAGTAAATCGAGAACTCAGTAAAGTCAAAGACCACTACTCAAACCTCTAAGGACACTGAAACCATGCTTTCTTTCTAATTAGGTTGGAGACAAAACGCTGTGGGCAAATACTATAGATACAAAGTATGCCCTATGAACAACGTCTCACTGTCAAATAAATACACTTCACCAAAGCTCCCCATAGATTTAATCTGGGCAGTTGCAATATTGGGTAAAGCTTAGGTAAGCATCACCTCCTCCAATCAGAGGTCTGATATGGCTTGTCCTGCCCACTGAGCTTTAACAAAACTGGCCTTCCCCATTCTTGCTCTCTTAAAGCCTGAACAACTTTCTAAGCTAACCTAGCAAGAGCAACAGAGCTAGCAAACTAGAACATCTGTCTGAATGTTGTCTAGCTGTCCACTCGGTTATGGTAACAATCCCCAGAGGCACATCCAGCAGTAAAGTGAGTTTTATTTTTTAAAAGATCATCACATAAAAGCTGGATCTTTATTCACAGCAGGATGGTCCAAAACAGTCACCGCCCTGCTCACGATTGTGTTTAGCTCAGCATGAACTGTTTTAAGCAACATTCATGGTTTCTAACCCTGGTCCAGAGGTTCACCCACCTATATCTGTTTATCCTTCCTTCTCTAATACTCCTAATCTAATCAGTCAGCTCAATAACAAGCTCTTACTGAGTTGGAGTGGGTGTTTTACAGCAGGGAAAACACTCAATGTGCAGGACCAAGGCTGAAAACCACCATGATAAAACAACTTTCAAGTTTTAATAATAACAGTACAACAATGACTACCTGAAAACACAGTAAAGTTTAATATACACAATATAGACTGGAATATGGCTTGTACATTCGATCAATAAATACGTATGGACAGTAAGTAAGCACACAATTCTGAAGGAGAAATAAGTAGCATATGCATGGTGTAGCTTTTCACTGGTCAGCTGCATGTTACTGGCTCACTACAGGTCAGTAGAGGTATAAAGATGTAACTCATCACCATGCAGATGATGCATAGCTGTGTTTGTTAAGAAATCGTTTTCCTTAACACTTCAAGTTTTCATTTCTACTTATTGCTCCTTTAAAGCAGACTGATACAGTCAGTAGCAATCTCCCTGGGAGCTGTATTGAGGTGTAGATTGACTAGAAGGTCACTTTTTGCTCTCTTTCCTAAGAGGGGCAAAAAATGGGTGTCTGATGGCCTCCTCCAGGGTGATGCGTTTGGACACATCGTATTCCATCATCTTCTGAAGCAGGTCAAACAGCTGCTCGTGGACCGAGCTCTTTGAGGACATGTATTGCTGGAGGAGTAAAAAAGACAATGTATAAATATGAATGAACCGATTAAGCCGTTACACAAAACTCAAATCAGCTGCAACAGACTTTAGGTGTGACCTTCAGATGTTTGAGTGCGAGTTACCTTGAGAGGTTTGCAGTGCTTCCTCACGTATCTTCCAGATGAGGTATGCTCATCCCAGTCCAACTTGTCACGATAAACATAGTGCTGCTTCCTATAAACAAACCAGACAGCTCAACATTTACCTGAAGCTTACATTTCCTATGGTGTAACCAAAGCCCATAAAGTCTGTCTACTCGGCGACCGTCTTGGCAATGCTGCCAGGTGATCATTTCCAGTAGAAGACCAGACTCCTATCTCCCTGAATGAGGACTAACCAGTGTCCTCCTTTATAACCTCTCTCGTGAGACTCATACTAACCATTCTGTAGATGCCTGCTAATGATGTGAGAGAAGAAACCTACACCCACTAAATGTAAACCAAACAAATAGCCAGTCTTACTCTTACCCTGTTTTCTGAAGCAAGTGAACAGGTATGGGGCCTAAAACTCTCTCCATCATGGCCAGATGCTCCTTGCTGTCATGAGTCTGTAACACAAGGTGGAAGTGTGTCAATTAGCATGTAAAATGTAATGTTATGGATAAGATACTGGAGAATTCAGAGTAAAGGGAGCTCTGCCGTGCTACTTACCTGAAACAGTGTTAGTCCCAGATAGTATTCAATCAAAATGCAGCCCAGACTCCAAACATCGCAAGCCTGGTTCCATCCAAGCTCTGGCAATACAAACAACACAGAATGAATTAAAACCATCTTCAATTGCAGCTCAGGTTTGGAAGAGCCAATAACATTAAATACTGCCCTTGCACTCACTGTAATATAAAGAGACTCTTACCTAAGATGACTTCAGGTGCTCTGTAGTGACGTGTCGACACCACTGATGTGTGGTGCTCATGGTCATATGTAGCATTGCCAAAGTCCACCACTTTCACATCAAGATTCTTCAATGTCCTCTCATCCCGTTTCTATATAAAGATTTTTTTCTTTAGAAGTGCTTATTCCAAACTCCAGTGGTTTAAAAAGAGAACAAATGCTTAATATCACAGCTCACCAACTTGGCGTTGTATTCAATGTCAAAGTCTGAGTCCACAAACAGAATGTTTTCAGGTTTCAAGTCTGTGTGTGTTAGCTTATTCCGATGAAGAACTTTTAAAGGAAAATTAAAAAAAGCGTTACAGGGTAACAATTAATCATGTTATGTGCTGCCTGGAAGAACAAAAATTCCATGGGCAAATTAAACAAAAAAAAAGATAACAGAATAAAATGCATTAAAAATGGTAATTAAAGCAGTCTATGGCTCTATGTAATGATATATTTAAAATAAATAGGAAGAGATATTTGCACAAGTTAATTTTTACTATATCTGTTTTCAAAGCACTCAGTGGCCTTAACTCACAATGTACAGCATTGAAGATCTGATATGCCATATGTCTGATCTGGTCCACTGTGAAGGGCATGAAGCCATTCTCTTTGAGAAAGTCGTAAGTACTCATCCCCAGCAACTCAAACACAATGCAGATGTGGCCATGGTGGTCAAACCAGTCCAACATCCGCACACAGGCACTGAAAGGCATTGACATGGTTTGTTTTTGCACATTAGAAATCTCTCTTTTTTTTTTTCAACGAATTCTAGAAAATGAACACATCACTACATTGAAGTCACTCACAATCTCTTTTCAGAGTCCAGAGAGTTCATTTGTTCTAGCACCTCCACTTCTGACATAGCTGCCTCGCGATAACGTTCCAGATTTTTGATGATCTTCAGGGCCACTCTCATACCATCTCTGCCAACACATGAATAGAAAATCAACAGCTTACTTGTGGGTTTTAGTATTTCATAAACAGGCAGTCAGAGAGAGAAGAGCTTACTTTGAGTGGTCAATGCACTCCACCACTTTTCCAAAGGCTCCTTCTCCGAGAGTGCTTACAATCTCATCTATTAAGAAGATAAAAAAAAAGCAGGCCGTCAGTACAGCTTAATGACAATGTAAGTTAACCAATTATCAGACTTAGCAAGTGCATTACAGGGGACTGTGAACATTTCTGTTACAGTGTATGTATATCGATATTTACTGGTTTAAAAGCGTGCAAACATCCAGCATGGTACTCCCACATTATTTAAGTTAAATCTAGTACAAATATATTTCAGCTCCCCTTCAAAATGTAACCCCCAACTAACTTGAAGTCTCCCAACCACTAGACACAGAACAGACAGAAAGATATGTGTTCTATACATCTTGCTCTTAGCATGTGTCCATTGTGATAGATCAGGTGACCCTCCTCATCATCCTCAAAACTCCTGGTTCTTTTCCTGCGATGACTTTTCTGGAAGGAGGGAAGTGACGTTCACGGGCATCAGCATCACCATCATGACACCATCATCAAACACCAGCCAGAACCAGGCCCGAACACGTCATTCATTCATTCAGCAAGAAGGTTGGTGAAGGGGAGGGAGATATTCGGACCCGTTCAGAAACCCGCACCAGGCCACGGCAGCAGCAATTTCAAATTCAGCCCCGAACAACGGCACAGGTGCCAACATAGCGTGTGTTACAGAAGAAAAACATGGCAACAACATTTTCAGACAAGAGACTTGGAGTAATGTGGAGTAACAACACAACAAACTGTGGAATGGCTATTTTATTCTATGACCCAGTGTATATTGTCAAAGCAAAAAAAATCAAATTACCAATTTTCCACTTACCCCAAATGTAGCCAGCCGAGACATGTTCAGTGTCCAGATTTTGCTTCTTTAAATTTTACGCTGGACCTACAAGGCTAACTTTGCTAACAAACACCATAAGTTGATAATCACTCAAATCAATACATCCCCATAATTTCTCTCAACCTACTTAAACCACATCCAGGTCTACATTAAGGTCCTGCAGACCTGGCAAAGTAATTTAGAGCACAATATGACTGGATGTGAACTAAAGAAATGAACAAAACTTCATCAACAGACTGGGCAGCTATTTTAGACAACAGGTAATGAGCTGAATTTTGACTCACCTGCGGAATCAGACTTATGGACACTGGATTAGGTTCAAGATTCCTGTCATTTCTATTTTTAAACATATATCTTTAATTTGAAAATTCAAGAATAAAATATATTTTTGAAAAAAGGTCACATAACACAAGTGTCACATAAAACAAGTAATCACACAAACGTATCTGTACTATCCATATGCCTGCATGACCTGCAAACATGTTAAAGGGAGGCATAATCTGTCACACTCCTAT